CCCACTTCACTGAACACTGGAACACAAACATCCTGTTTCCGTCACTTCCCACTCTGTGGAGTGAAAACATACACCATCATGTGATAGAAAACAATCCCATGACTGCAATCGCAGAGCAGGAATCTTAACAGTATAGGCCCTGCACATCTGAATCTGTCAGGGCCAGCCCTACCATTATGCAGAGTGAGGCCTTTGTCTCAGGCAGCAGATGCTGGGAGCTGAGAGATGTTGGCTAAGTGTCGAAGAGCAGAATTGTGTGTGCCACACAACATGCCCTGTGCCTCCTAAGAGAGCTAGCCACCCTTAGCTGTAGCAGAGGAAACTGTCCTTTTGCCAACATCAAAGTAAGATCCAACTGCCAACATACTTGCTTTCTGTATGTGAAACAGGAGGAGGTGCCATTTTGTCTTTCACTCTGAAGAAACAAAATGTATTGGGTCAGCCCTAATCCAAGTCAGAAATCTAAGTGGCAGAGTTACGCACACACCCTTAAAATTGGTGGCAGGTAAAGGTGAATTTTTTTTCTTGGAAAGTATACATAGATTTTATTTTCCCGTTCTATAGGCAGATACATAGTGCCATAAAAATGAATTAGAAATGATTCTAGGTTACACTTATTTGCTGGATTTCAATAATGGTTGTAAAGCTCTCATTACTGTTGGATTCACAGGACTGTGTGTAGGATTTTCCCCCCTCACAGCAATGTGACTTTTCATATTATCATCTATTCCTGGCATACAGTTTTAAAAAAAGAAAATACCATTAAAGATGAAGGGGAAAGGAAGTCACATATAAGTCACTTTTTAAAAAATGTTGGCTTGCTTTACATTTCACATTTATTTGGACATTTAAGTATGACCAACTATTTTTATTTCCAGATTATCAAACTGTTGGATGGAAAGAGATCTCAGACTGTAGGAATTTTGATTTCCAGTTTACATTTGGAGATGAAGGACATACAACAAGGTGAGTGTTGCTTGCATCTTGAAAGGAACCTTGTGCATGGAGATGTTTTCAGAAGTTAATAATAATAAAAGAACCTTCAGATGCATATTTTACATTACACATTCTATAGCTGTGCGTCCCTCTTGTTCAGCATCATGTTTTGCACAGGGACCAGCCAGATTCTTCCAGGAAACATGAAATAGGCAGTAACATTTCCTTCTACTTGCTTCCCACCCCTGCAATTGGAATTCATAGGCACACTGGCTCTGAACTGGAAGTTCCACTTAGCAGCCCTAGCATTCAGCTTTTGCTACACCATATCTGCCACTTACTCCTCTAGTCTGCTTTAAAATCTAAGCTAGTGATCATTGATCCTACGGCAATGAATTTCACAAATTGATTATGTATGAAGAAGTATGGGGTGGTTGTTGTTTCTTGTATGTTCTCAGTCCGCTGTCAATCAATTCCATTAAGGGATCTCAAATTGTAGTGCTATGAGAAAAGGAGAATAATGCTGTCTATACTGACTTTTCCTATACATAGAATCATAAAATTGTAGCATTGGGAGACATCCTAGGCATCATCTAGTCCATCCCCCCTGCAATGAAAGAATCTCAACATGCAGTCCCCCATCCAATTTGAAACCATAGCAGTTTTATTGCTGCCCCACGAGGACCACTTATACCATGCATAACACTATAAATATCTGCCTTAGTTGCCATTTTTCTTAAATTCCTAAACACGCCTAGGCTTTTCTCATAAGAAAGACGTAAATTATTTCACACATTGCTTGCTTGAGAGAGAGTAGGTACTCCTGTTCTAGGAACTGGCTGTGTTACACCTAAAGTGGCTGTCTTGTAGAGATGTCTAGTTTCAACCCTCTTGCAGTATTCCTTCCTACGAAGGAGCAGCAAAGCAACAAGCTCATCGGCCAATCAACAAATTAAATTTTTTAGTTTTCTGATTTTAAGATGTCATTTCAGTAGTTCTTGATGTGCTGGGACTGGGAGGGATGGGATTACAGTTTACCGGAGCATAGTAACAATCATCATCATCATCATCATCTCCGGTCTTATCAGCCAATGTCTGCTCATGAGAGGTGAGACAGAGACAATTGTATCCCCTGCTGCTGGCATGTGTTAGGATAGATGTAGAGTGAGTCAAGGTAGTGACAGCAAGGTCAGGTGTGCATACACCTGTCCCAGCATATTGTTCCATAGGACCACTGAACCCACAACCCCTCCCCAAATGCAGAGATAAGCTGTTACTATATGTAATTCCAATGTCATCAACTGATGACAGAAAAATAAAATTAGAATGAAAGGTTGGGCCCAGAGATAGATGGTTGGAATTCTACTCATGCAACCGGGGTTCTCCTGGTTCACGACTCAGCTGCTGCCCCTGAAGACTGAGGGAACATTTAGTACAGAGTGTGATGGGACTGGAACAGGGAGGGGGGCTGCAACAGAATGGGGAACTTGGTCCTTCTGCTTCTGCAAAGACATGTCTGGATCCAAGCCATAATGCCTGAAGAAATTATTTTTAAATAACCTCTGAGCTTGCATCAATGTGATACTCTTTCTGCTCCGAAAACCTATCGCATCCGCAGATGTCCATGCAAAACTAGGGAGAAGATAAAAGAGAAGCAATAGGAAGACAATGTAATGCTATCTCAGGGTGGTGTAGGATTTTTGCCTTGAGAGATTTCCACCTTCGGTTGTGTCTAAGCCCAGTAACTGACATACTTGGCAGTTTTCATGTTGTCTAGCAATTGCAGTATGTGTAGCTCTGTACATCTGGCACACATATGGTTTGGTTTGCATTTGATTACTAGCCAACAAATTGAGGACCGCCACATTTGCGGGAGGAATCATCCACAGATGTTTCTTAGGAGAGGGTGACATTTTCTATTCCTGAAAAAGGTAGGACGGCGCTATCGTTGCTGGACAAAAGGCAACAATATTAAGCACAGAGAATGGTTTTGTCGCCTTGTGGTGTAGTTCAAGCTCCCCGTTGGAAGAAAATCAAAACCTTTCTGTGCCAGATTAAAATAGGGGATGTGTCTCATAAAAAGCAAATATATATTAGCATGTCATTGCTTCTTTCTATGCTGGGCATTTCCAGACCTCTGTCTCCTCAACACCATTATTGACTGGAATCAAAGTGCTTTTCACTACTTATATATCTTTGTTGACATACAGAATGACCTTGTAGGTCTCCTTCTTGGAAAATAATTGATACCTATAGGAAATCCTAAAATGCTGCTTAGAAGTATTTGCAAATTTTTAATAAGTGCTCATTCCAAGGACAACATCAGGGGTTTGTCAGGATCCTTTCTTTATTAGGTACCCCATCATTCACTCCCACGGAAGTTCATTTGAGACCCAGGATATTGGAACTTTCGCCTCCTTCGTAGTGTATGAATGTCAGCAGAAGCTTCATCAGGCTTCTTCCTTCCAGCATGGCTGCTGTGCAGCTACAGCACAAAACAGCACATCGCTGACCGAGGCTGCATACACACACCATACACTTAAAGTATATGCTGGGAATTGTAGCTCTGTGCAGGGTAAACTATAATTCCAAGGATTCTTTGTGTGGGGAAATGCACTTTAAATGTATGGTTTGATCTCAGCCAAAACCTCTGTTGCATTTTATACTGATGGCGTTGGTGAGGGTGCACAGCGAATCATTTCCCTGCAATTTGGCCCAAGCACAACTTTTCCATAGGACTCTTTGCTGTTTAAATAAGACTCTGTTAGCTGCAGATTACCCAAGAGCTTTGCTGATTTTTGTTCCTAGTGAGAATGGAAGTTTGGGAGACTCCCACACCCCCAAATTGAGTGGATGGTTCTTCAAGCAGTTTCTTCAAAGTTAAAGGCATACATAACATCCTGCAAACAATGTTGTTGTTGTTGTTGTTTAGTCGTTTAGTCATGTCCGACTCTTCGTGACCCCATGGACCAGGCACTCCTATCTTCCACTGCCTCCCGCAGTTTGGTCAAACTCATGCTGGTAGCTTCGAGAACACTGTCCAACCATCTCGTCCTCTGTCGTCCCCTTCTCCTTGTGCCCTCAGTCTTTCCCAACATCAGGGTCTTTTCCAGGGAGTCTTTTCTTCTCATGAGGTGGCCAAAGTATTGGAGCCTCAGCTTCACGATCTATCCTTCCAGTGAGCACTCAGAGCTGATTTCCTGAAGAATGGATACGTTTGATCTTCTTGCAGTCCATGGGACTCTCAAGAGTCTCCTCCAGCACCATAATTCAAAAGCATCAATTTTTCGGCGATCAGAAAACAATACCTGCAAACAATACCTTTCCTCAAAGCCTTAGCTACAACCCTCTTTCCACAGCCCATCATCTTTCAACCACCCTTTGATGTGCCATAGTTCAAGTAATTCAATAAGCTTTTTAAGAAGGCGAAACAGAAAGCCACATTTTGAAGCCTGCCTTCACATTACTTGGCAAAGCTATATGTTTAATATAAGAAGGTGCTTTTCACTAAGTGTCATCAGTGACTCATTTAGCCCAGTATTGTGAGTTCTGTCAGAAACATTCAGTGATCTCAAGCAAAGGATTTTCATGACTCTGCGTCCCAAAGTCTTTTATTGGGAGACCAAACTTGGAGAATTGATTCTGGGGTTTCATTCATGCAAAATCATGCCCTTTGCTGTCTAGCCAATGTAAGAGTTTAACATAATAATAACAAAAATAATTTCACAGTATCACCAAATTATATATGCATTCAAAGTTCTAGAGAGGTCATCTCCTTAGCAATTTGTGGGGGGAAATGGTAAAGTACTTTTCAACTTTTCTTGTAATAAGTTCATGCAAAGTTTATTCTTTGCCTCATGTCAAATATCTATCCAGTTACAAGGTCAGGAAAACTGGCAGCCGTGAAGACATATATGCATCTCAGTTCTGTGCTGTTTAGTGAAACTATTGAGTGAATTTTGTACTGAGAATATTTTCTCTGGCATATGAAAAAGCGCTGGATAATTTGTGATTTTGCTGGTTATGGAAGACACATGAGAAAATCATTCAACAGCTGTATTGCATGAATATGATTGATAAGGAGCTGCTGGTTTTGGTAACAAATTACTGTATGCAGAAGTTAAAAACTATGTCACTTTTATAGTATATAACTTCTCTCTCTGTGTGTGTGTGTGTGTGTGTGTGTGTGTGTGTGTGTGTGTTGTCCATATAATACGGGGCAAGCTCTAATATACAACTCAGAAGTTGGGAAACAATTTCCTTTAAACGTTATTCCCTTTGTTCTGGATAATTTGCAGCATATGGTTTTTGTGAATCTGCCTACGGGCACCAAGCCTGATGTGGTTAGGTTAACATGAGTTGCCCGAGTCTTTTGCTCATGACTTCATGCGGCAGTTGAGCTTTCCTAACCTTCTAAGCCCACTTTTATACCCAGACTGCTTTTCTGCCTCATTAATCTTACAGCATTTTTGCATGACAGTCAAATAGTAGAAGGAGCTTTTTGAGGAGCTTATGCGTCTGAAATAAAGAGGCTGGATCTGTTAAAATTTTTATCAGTGTAGGATTTATCCTATGCCAACAATTAAAAAATAATAATCTGTGTTTGTCTTCAGTACCAAATAGTACTGTAATTCTAGTATATAAAATAGGTAATTTGATAGCCAAAATGGCATACTGTTTGGAGTGTCGGACCCGGACCTCACCTGAGAGACCAGAGAGAAGCTCCCTGGGTGATCTTGGTCCAGTCACCAACGCTCAGCCTAGCCTACCTCACAGGGTTATTGTGAGGATAAAATGTGGAGAGGGAGAACCATATACAGTGGTACCTCGGTTTTCGAACGTCTCTGTTGACGAACATTTCAGTTTACGAACACCATAAACCCAGAAGTATGTGCTTCGGTTTTCAAATACGCCTCGGAAGTCGAACATGCCACGCAGCTTCCGCTGAGTGCAAGATCCTGAGGCCTAGCTGTCAGCTGTTTAGTTTTCAGTTTTCAAACGTTTCAGAACTCGAACCGTCTTCCGGAACGGATTACATTCGAAAACTGAGGTACCACTGAACACTATTTTGAGCTTCTTGGAGGAAAGGAAGGAAATGAATGTAGTAAAATTACTATTCTGTGGAAGTAATTACTTAGAATATTTGCTGTTTGGAAGCTACCAGTCTCTCATGTGAGCAGAATTTCTGCTAGTTAGAGCTTTCTTAATTTAGAGGTCTATTTAGAGTTAAATCTTTAAGAACTACAAATGCCCACAGCTTTATATACTCTCAAATTAATTATTAGGCTTCCTTAAATCTTGTTCTATCAATACATTGTTCACACTGTTTTGGGGGGAGGGGGCGAAAAATGCAGTTATGAAAAAATAGTGAAATTTTAGATATAAAGTGTGTGTGTGTGTGTGTGTGTATGCAAAGTTGTTTTTATGGTAAGTTTATTGTCCTGCTGCCGTCTTGTGTAATGCAGTTAGCAAGTATTTTTATGTGTGGCACTTAGGCTGAATGCATGGTGCTGATCTGCTTTTTGTCCTTGCTGACGGTTATTTTATCCTAATGGGCGCAATACTGTGCTAATTATCCTTATGTATATAAATTCTTCTTGTTGTGAGCAGACACCATAGGGCCACATAAAAACGTTTGCCTCAATTTCCCTACAAAAAAGGAGTCCAGAAACCAGACTTGTCCTAGTAACAGATTTTTAAAGGTAGAGGAACCCAATAAAATTACCAGCTCCTCACAGCATGCATCTATTTCCTTTCGACATATTGTGAGGTGTAGCTGAGCTATCCTAACCAAACTGACAGTGTAAGAAGGACGGCTCACCAAGATTAAACGTAAAAATGAGGTTTTAGCAGCTGCTTTGGAATCCAGTTTCTAAATGTGTTAGGCTTTGCTGCAATAATGTCACCTTAGTGAATTCAGGCAGCCAAATGTTGCAGTCTGGGCTCAGGTAACTGTAGCTGAGGGGGTGGAAAGATAAAAGATATCATAAAAGACAAGAGTCTCTGTTCTAAATTTGGTCTTACTTCATGCACACAAAAATATTTTTAGGATAAAGATAATTATCTAATCCTCTTTTTAGGATAATTTTTTGGGATTCTAGGGCTTAAAAGTGTAACTGATCTGCATGCAGGTCAATGGAGCATGAGACTTCCGTATGCAATGGAATGTTTGGTGAGGCCTGGGAGGCGGACCGAGGGGGTCATTGAAGTAGCCCCACCTCTGGCCTGAAATGGAACAGCCCATTCCATTACAGGACAGTTGCAAGATACTTTCTCTTATTGCAACTCTGCAGTGGGAGGTGAGACTTGCCAAAGGTCAGGTGGAGGTGGCTTGCAACTCACCCAAAATATGGGGGCGGGGGGGGAGAGGAAGAATCAAGCAGCATATGTAGGCTGTATGTGTGTCGTTTGAGTGACAAAGGCAGGGGTAAGCCGTGCTGGATCTACAAATTTTGGCGGGGGTGTGTGTGCAAAAGTCTGCACTGCCACCATCTCACCCTCTGATTAAACATAAACTTTGACATTAATATTAACACCTGGGTTGGTTTTGGTCTGACCAGTGTATGCATTCCTAGAAGCTCAGTCCAACTTTTTCTGACGGTAACAGCCATTCAGCAGTGGAATGGACTCCCTCAGAAGGTAGTGGACTCTCTCTTTCATTGAAGGTTAAGCAGAGGTTGTCTGGCCATCTGTCATGGATGCTTTAGCTGAGATTCCTGCATTTCAGGGAATTGGACGAGATGACCCTCAGGGCCCCTCCCAATTCTACAATTCTGTGATTCACCTTAATAGAAAATTGGCTTCTTCCATTTTAAAGGATGCATGAGCAGAGCTGTTCCCTTCAATGAAGTAAATGGGAAACCCTGTTCACAAAGGCACTAGATATATGTTGTTGTTGTTGTTTAGTCGTTTAGTCATGTCCGACTCTTCATGACCCCATGGACCAGGCACTCCTGTCTTCCACTGCCTCCTGCAGTTTGGTCAGACTCGTGCTGGTAGCTTCGAGAACACTATCCAACCATCTCGTCCTCTGACGTCCCCTTCTCCTTGTGCTCTCCATCTTTCCCAACATCGGGGTCTTTTCCAGGGAGTAGATATATGTACCGTGTATGCAACTCTGGATCTGAATGCATTGTAGGTTTTAAATAAAGTTCAGTAACAATCATTTCCCATGGTTGTTAAGATCTTATATTCACCATTCATAATATTTACCTTTTCCCTAACCACCTTTGTTTCCAAGTTAGGCACAGAATCATAACTGACAAGCAGAATTTTAAAGCATTCTAAATGTCATTGGACCTTTTAATAGAATTAATTAGCCTGCCACGGAGAAAATTTACTAGCCTGCTGGTTAATTTCACAATGTAAAATCATGGGGTTAGAGGTAGAAGGGGGAGCAACCTTATTACTTTTAAATAATTATTTAAAGATGCTTGTCTTGCCTCTCTCAAACATCACAGAAAAAGACAAAACTCAGCAAGAGCTTTTAAACTCTTCAGCTGTGAGTGGTCACTTCTCCTTTTATAGGTAAGGCAATATGTGCAGCAGAAATCAAGATACCAGCTATTAAACCTTCAGCAGATGCAGAATCATAGCTGGTAGTCAAAGTTATTAATATTCCTACTGTTTTAATTTAAGCAAACAATTTCTCTTTAAGATGCAAACTGAAATGTTATGCCTGGGATACTTACATTTGTGGGTTTTATAAATAATAATTTGTTTTCGGAATAAATGAAAGCCTTTCATGGGTTTCTGCGATATTACATACAAAAGGCATTTCTTCCGCACAGAGATTTTTTGTGGAATTGGTGCTATTTATGCATACAAGTTTTTCATGTCATCCACATGATGCCGTTGCCATCAAAATGCCAACCCTCTTCTTTCTTTTACATTTAATTCGAATTTCCTCTTATTGTAGAAAATGTGATCAGTAAAAATAGCCGTAGATGCTGGCATGATGAATTGGTTGCGTCCACATTAGTTTCACTTCTGATTACATGGAATTGATTTATCCCCCACATTACGCATTGCTGGTCTTCCAGTAAAAGCCAATGTGCTAACGTAAACTCTTTCATACAAGAGCACATTTTGCCTTTTTACACCATTCACTTTTCACTACACCATCAATAGCCTAAAAGAGTCAACTAGTAAACCAAACTCCATAGAAAAGGGTCAATGAAAAATGTCTGTGTATAGAGGACAGCAGCCACCTTCTTTCAGTGTCTTAGCTCATAGCTATGTGTAAGCCTGCATAGGAGAAACGTCCACATGAAAGATAACACATTCCCCAGTTTTTTTCTTTCCTGTTTGTGGCAACAGAATTAGCCAACAAACCCAGTTGTGACATATTATCTAATTTATGATTTTATATTTTCTACAGCTTTACTAAATGTGGATCATTCCATCGTTGACTTAGAAACGCTGGAAGCACTGTATGAGAACGTAAGTATAAAAGAGTCAGTTCCACACCTCTAGTTCACAAATAGAAAGTGAGCTATGGGCACATATCCCATCTTCTTGCATGTCCCATGTTCTCTTTATCCAAATGCTGTCTTTCTGCAACAGAAATGCAGGTTTCACCCCGTTGTCTTTAGTAATAGATGTCTGGTTGAACCCACCTTGAGATACAGTTCTTGTTTTGTTCAGACATTTCAATATTCTATAGTCCTTCATTTTCGTTTTGCATTCTTTCCTCCGGTAATCCCACACTTGTGCAATATTCACATGCAGAGCAAGAGCTGAGGGATCACATGATGGCTAACATTGCGTAGGAGGAACGCAGAGTACATACAGGAGCACCGCATGCAGACCTCAATACAACTTCTTCACATGCCAGCCAAAACACACTGGTGGCTGGTTGGCTTCTATAGGCACTGGTAAAAAGGAGCAGGACTAGTCTATGCAATTCTACTCAACCCTCTCTCCTGGCCTTATGTTCTTTCAGTGTTTGAGCATATCATTTGAACCCCACTATGGCGCTGTGGGTTAAACCACAGAGCCTAGGACTTGCCGATCAGAAGGGCGGCGGTTCGAATCCCCGCGATGGGGTGAGCTCCTGTTGCTCGGTCCCTGCTCCTGCCCACCTAGCAGTTCAAAAGCACGTCAAAGTGCAAGTAGAGAAATAGGTACCGCTCTGGCGGGAAGGTAAATGGCGTTTCCGTGCGCTGCTCTGGTTCGCCAGAAGCGGCTTAGTCCTGCTGACCACATGACCCGAAAGCTGTACGCTGGCTCCCTCGG